AGAAAACGATCTACTCAATGGATTTCATCAAGACTAGTTCCCTGCGTGCTCTGATTGAGTTAACTTTCCAACGCAACTGGAACGGCCTCATTTGGATGAGTAGAAAAGGACTTATAGCCAAAAGAGCGAAGACTGTCCAAAGCCGATCTATCGAGAATCGACGCCCAAACCGCGCAGAACGGCCGGCCGAGGAACGCATGTTCCGCTCTCGGCCAAAATTGCGTCCGTCCGTCTGAAGTCTCGGCCAAAGTTCAAAACCGTTCGGCCGATCATGCATCACGACCCGGGAAACTAAGACCCGCAGTCGGCCACGCCACGACCGTCCACGCCTCGCCGCGCACGACCATGCCGCGCGAGCCGGGAAACAAAGCCTCGCGGCCGCGTAACCTATCTCGCGTACCACGGCCGATGGTTCCGGCTCGTCCCAAGTCCGGCCGAGAAACCATCGACCATTCCATCAACCGTCCGACCACACCGGCCGACCGTTAAATCATCCGGCCACGACCGTTCCGACACGGCCACAACCCGACTGTCGGGCCGATCGTCCCGACCGACCGTCTGAACGCCGCGGTCGCCCCAAAGCCGTTTTTGAAGCCCAATCCGCACAATCCAAGCCCAAAGCCGGCGCCGACCTAGCAAGATTAGGTCTAGCCGCTTTTTCATACTTAGTGTATTATAAATACTTCTTTTTAGCCTTGTAACTCAAGAAGGAGAGAGACCACAATATATTTTACATCTTTAATAAAGTTTTGGTTGCTTTTACTTTGTTCTTGCTTGTGCTCTTTCTAGAGAGGATTCGAATCTCTGTTCTTATGAATATGAATTCGTGTTCCTTCTCTATGTCTGAGTAGTTTACTTGTTAAGTGATAGGAAGTCAAAGGATAGCATTCATGTATGCTTGATGATTGATCACAATTAGGGTTTTACTTATAATCTCCATCTTTGCTTATACTTAATGCTTGTTGTTAATCTGGCCAATAAGCATATGAACTTGGGTTGATTTGAGCCTCGATAGTGCTGTATCATTCGCCTGAACTAGTATTTGGTGGGCAACCTCTTTTAGACTGCGAAAGTTGATTTACTTGTAGGTTGTGAACAATTGAACTTAATCAAACTAATGCTTGATTTAATCACCTAAGGATATACCAAAAGTTTAGCGACTAGGTAGATTAACAAAGGGGTCGGAGCCTCGACAGTGGAATGATCATACCTTAGTGTTTCAAGTTCTAGAATGACACCTAATTGCAGTAACCCTAATTGATTGATTTCTTGCTTCATGAATTGCTTATCTTAAGACTATCCTATTGCTTAGCCCTTTTCTCCTATTGATCTTATTCTATTTGAAACTTGCATGCCTTTACTCTTACTGCACTCAACCAAACCTTATACTTTTGCCCTAGCTCGATCTCGAACTTATAGCTTGTAGTGTGCAATCTGGTCCTCGTGTTCGATACCCGTTTACTACTTCTGACCTGTGCACTTACAGAATCAGGGATAGGAAAGGGGAAGACCTGATCCCGCGATCAAGTTTTTGGCGCCGTTGCCGGGGACCAATTCGTCACCTACAAGTTCCTGCAAGAGAGCTAGTCTAGGGTTTTATCTTTTTCCTTTTTAGTTTTGTTATTTTCCCTTTTCCTTTTGATTTGGTTTTTCCTTTTTGTTTTTGATCTTTTTCAGGCTTTCCTAGTTAGATATGGAAAATGATTCACAAGTCCTTGTTCCTATAAAGGCGATTCCACTTCGCCAAATACCACCTCAAAGAAACCTCTTGGACGAACAAGAGATGTCAAGCCCTCAAGCACCACCACCTTCTTGGGATAGTCCTCCAAAACTATCCTCCTTGAAGACAAAGAAGAAACTTCTTCCCTACCTTGAAGCAGCCGACCTGGAGACATCTAGCCAAGCCGCATCTTACAGAGAAGAACACCTTCTAGCCACGCCAGAAGAGGAGATTAACCCTGAGATGATTGAGTTCGTGAAGAGAGATCAATTCCATCATCTGTTTTCAGAGTATGCGCTAGAGCATCTGGATCACTTTGATAATCTTTGTGATTCCTATGGAGTCTTTGACTTTGAGAAGAAGATGATGCTATTCAGCACATCACTAGCTGGACCAGCACTAGATTGGGCGCAGCATGAGCCACTCTCTACAATCGAGTCATGGATCGATTTTAGAGAAGCCTTCTTGAAGAGATTTGCAAGGCTACCACCTTTCAAGTCCAAGTACAATCACTACTCTCATCAGCTGGAGAGAGAGCGTGAAGAAGAAGAATGGGGAGGCATACCACCCCATCTTGAAGAGCTAATCAAGCATGTGGAGAGAAACCCTTTCTACAATTCTACTTCAGAGTGTGCAAAGGAGCATCTATGCAACTTTGAGCAGCTTTGCCACGACTATGGAGTTGGAGATAACCCCAAGAAGATACAACTTTTCCAACTATCTTTAGCTGGACAAGCCAAAGAATGGGCTAAGTTCAACGCCCAACATGCTTTCAAGACTTGGAATGGATACAAAGGAGCTTTCCTCTACAGATTTGCTAAAGGTCCCATTTATGTTCCACCACCACGCCCCAGTAATTTTTCGATGGATTTCCGACGGTTTTCAACAGCACAAAAACGGTCGGTAATCCGTCGGCAATTTCCGACGGATTAGAACTCGTCGGAATTATTGGGATATTTTCGATGGTTTAGCGACAAATTTTATTTCCATCGTATATAGGGAAATATTTCCGACAGTGTTTCAACAGGCATGAAGTCCGTCGTAAATCACAGGAAACATTTCCGACGGTTTAATGAGGAATACAAAATCCGTCGGGAAAATTTTGATTAATTCCGTCTACAATTCGTCGGATATATTTGCGATAAATTTCCGACAAATTTCCGTTGAGAAAATAAGCGATGACTTTCCGACGGAATCATTTTCTGACGGATTATCGACAGATTTCCCGATCAGGACCATTGCGGATAATCTCTCAGTATTCCGCCGGGAAACTGTTTCGACGGGTTCCGACGGCTTACTATCGACAGATTATTGATGAACATCCCGACCATGATGGTTGTCGATAAACTCTCGGTAATCCGTCGTTAATAATTTTCGACGGATTCCGACGGTTATTTACGACGGATTTCCGACGAATGTTGTTTTTCCGACGACTTGTAATTGACGAATTATAACGGTCGGAAATCCGTCGATATAGATGGTTTCCGACGGTTGATCGACAATTTTCTCCATCAGTTTCACGCTGTTTTCTTGTAGTGCCGGACTTCAAACCAGTTCAATGCCACTGCATCAACTTTGGATGGAGCTAGAAAACGATCTACTCAATGGATTTCATCAAGACTAGTTCCCTGCGTGCTCTGATTGAGTTAACTTTCCAACGCAACTGGAACGGCCTCATTTGGATGAGTAGAAAAGGACTTATAGCCAAAAGAGCGAAGACTGTCCAAAGCCGATCTATCGAGAATCGACGCCCAAACCGCGCAGAACGGCCGGCCGAGGAACGCATGTTCCGCTCTCGGCCAAAATTGCGTCCGTCCGTCTGAAGTCTCGGCCAAAGTTCAAAACCGTTCGGCCGATCATGCATCACGACCCGGGAAACTAAGACCCGCAGTCGGCCACGCCACGACCGTCCACGCCTCGCCGCGCACGACCATGCCGCGCGAGCCGGGAAACAAAGCCTCGCGGCCGCGTAACCTATCTCGCGTACCACGGCCGATGGTTCCGGCTCGTCCCAAGTCCGGCCGAGAAACCATCGACCATTCCATCAACCGTCCGACCACACCGGCCGACCGTTAAATCATCCGGCCACGACCGTTCCGACACGGCCACAACCCGACTGTCGGGCCGATCGTCCCGACCGACCGTCTGAACGCCGCGGTCGCCCCAAAGCCGTTTTTGAAGCCCAATCCGCACAATCCAAGCCCAAAGCCGGCGCCGACCTAGCAAGATTAGGTCTAGCCGCTTTTTCATACTTAGTGTATTATAAATACTTCTTTTTAGCCTTGTAACTCAAGAAGGAGAGAGACCACAATATATTTTACATCTTTAATAAAGTTTTGGTTGCTTTTACTTTGTTCTTGCGTGTGCTCTTTCTAGAGAGGATTCGAATCTCTGTTCTTATGAATATGAATTCGTGTTCCTTCTCTATGTCTGAGTAGTTTACTTGTTAAGTGATAGGAAGTCAAAGGATAGCATTCATGTATGTTTGATGATTGATCACAATTAGGGTTTTACTTATAATCTCCATCTTTGCTTATACTTAATGCTTGTTGTTAATCTGGCCAATAAGCATATGAACTTGGGTTGATTTGAGCCTCGATAGTGCTGTATCATTCGCCTGAACTAGTATTTGGTGGGCAACCTCTTTTAGACTGCGAAAGTTGATTTACTTGTAGGTTGTGAACAATTGAACTTAATCAAACTAATGCTTGATTTAATCACCTAAGGATATACCAAAAGTTTAGCGACTAGGTAGATTAACAAAGGGGTCGGAGCCTCGACAGTGGAATGATCATACCTTAGTGTTTCAAGTTCTAGAATGACACCTAATTGCAGTAACCCTAATTGATTGATTTCTTGCTTCATGAATTGCTTATCTTAAGACTATCCTATTGCTTAGCCCTTTTCTCCTATTGATCTTATTCTATTTGAAACTTGCATGCCTTTACTCTTACTGCACTCAACCAAACCTTATACTTTTGCCCTAGCTCGATCTCGAACTTATAGCTTGTAGTGTGCAATCTGGTCCTCGTGTTCGATACCCGTTTACTACTTCTGACCTGTGCACTTACAGAATCAGGGATAGGAAAGGGGAAGACCTGATCCCGCGATCAAGTTTTTGGCGCCGTTGCCGGGGACCAATTCGTCACCTACAAGTTCCTGCAAGAGAGCTAGTCTAGGGTTTTATCTTTTTCCTTTTTAGTTTTGTTATTTTCCCTTTTCCTTTTGATTTGGTTTTTCCTTTTTGTTTTTGATCTTTTTCAGGCTTTCCTAGTTAGATATGGAAAATGATTCACAAGTCCTTGTTCCTATAAAGGCGATTCCACTTCGTCAAATACCACCTCAAAGAAACCTCTTGGACGAACAAGAGATGTCAAGCCCTCAAGCACCACCACCTTCTTGGGATAGTCCTCCAAAACTATCCTCCTTGAAGACAAAGAAGAAACTTCTTCCCTACCTTGAAGCAGCCGACCTGGAGACATCTAGCCAAGCCGCATCTTACAGAGAAGAACACCTTCTAGCCACGCCAGAAGAGGAGATTAACCCTGAGATGATTGAGTTCGTGAAGAGAGATCAATTCCATCATCTGTTTTCAGAGTATGCGCTAGAGCATCTGGATCACTTTGATAATCTTTGTGATTCCTATGGAGTCTTTGACTTTGAGAAGAAGATGATGCTATTCAGCACATCACTAGCTGGACCAGCACTAGATTGGGCGCAGCATGAGCCACTCTCTACAATCGAGTCATGGATCGATTTTAGAGAAGCCTTCTTGAAGAGATTTGCAAGGCTACCACCTTTCAAGTCCAAGTACAATCACTACTCTCATCAGCTGGAGAGAGAGCGTGAAGAAGAAGAATGGGGAGGCATACCACCCCATCTAATCACAAGAGCTAATCAGCTGGAGAGAGAGCGTGAAGAAGAAGAATGGGGAGGCATACCACCCCATCTGAAGTGAAGAGCTAATCAAGCATGTGGAGAGAAACCCTTTCTACAATTCTACTTCAGAGTGTGCAAAGGAGCATCTATGCAACTTTGAGCAGCTTTGCCACGACTATGGAGTTGGAGACAACCCCAAGAAGATACAACTTTTCCAACTATCTTTAGCTGGACAAGCCAAAGAATGGGCTAAGTTCAACGCCCAACATGCTTTCAAGACTTGGAATGGATACAAAGGAGCTTTCCTCTACAGATTTGCTAAAGGTCCTTTATGTTCCACCACCACGCCCCAGTAATTTTTCGATGGATTTCCGACGGTTTTCAACAGCACAAAAACGGTCGGTAATCCGTCGGCAATTTCCGACGGATTAGAACTCGTCGGAATTATTGGGATATTTTCGATGGTTTAGCGACAAATTTTATTTCCATCGTATATAGGGAAATATTTCCGACAGTGTTTCAACAGGCATGAAGTCCGTCGTAAATCACAGGAAACATTTCCGACGGTTTAATGAGGAATACAAAATCCGTCGGGAAAATTTTGATTAATTCCGTCTACAATTCGTCGGATATATTTGCGATAAATTTCCGACAAATTTCCGTTGAGAAAATAAGCGATGACTTTCCGACGGAATCATTTTCTGACGGATTATCGACAGATTTCCCGATCAGGACCATTGCGGATAATCTCTCAGTATTCCGCCGGGAAACTGTTTCGACGGGTTCCGACGGCTTACTATCGACAGATTATTGATGAACATCCCGACCATGATGGTTGTCGATAAACTCTCGGTAATCCGTCGTTAATAATTTTCGACGGATTCCGACGGTTATTTACGACGGATTTCCGACGAATGTTGTTTTTCCGACGACTTGTAATTGACGAATTATAACGGTCGGAAATCCGTCGATATAGATGGTTTCCGACGGTTGATCGACAATTTTCTCCATCAGTTTCACGCTGTTTTCTTGTAGTGC